AAAAAAATTAAATTAAATTCCAGTACCATCTTGTGTAGCTGGAGGACCCAAGCAGAAGCCAATAGGCAGCGTGCATTATAACCATTGTTCTTGACTGAAAAACCAGAATTCCCAGCAATTCTGGTTCCAGATTTTATATTAACATAGTGATAAGAGGAAGAAGGAATTGTGAGATTTTTCACTTACTGGTTTCCTAAGGAAAAATAAAGATAGTGCTCCAATTAAGGGCATGTCTCCCAGCAGAGGTTCCAAAATAACTCTCATGGTGCCATGAATCTAAAGGAAGAAGAAAAATGATCACAAGTCAGACTACTTAACACACTTAAGTATATACTGCATGCTTACATATGCATTGAACAAAATGGCCAGAATCCTAGTGATAATCCCAGCTAGATTAGAATCATTGTCTGAAATCCTGTTGCTTAGTGCAGCACAACTAGAGTAGAATTTACAGGATACAATGGAATTTACAGCAGAGCTGACTCACCAAATCCCCACTGATACAATGGACCTACTCTAGCTGTGATTTACTATACTAAACAACAGGATTTCAGCCATTGAATCAGTGGAATTTACATATGTGTTGACTCATCATTCAACAATTGATCCAACAGGTCTAACTTCAGTTGAGAGTAGTAATATGATTTAGGTCCATAATACTATAACGTTTTTCTTCCTTTATCAGGTAGAGATTGTGTAACTATTTTTATGAACTTCGTATTTTAATTAATATAGTTGTATGTTAGATAGGAAACAAAAACTCAATTTACCTGTATACTCTTAACACCAGCCCTGCAGAAGTATCTCTTGATCTCCAAATCAATTTCACAATTTCCAACAAAGCTAAAAATGAAGTGTGAAAACACATCACAATAATGTATTAGATATGACAATCCATCAGTTGCAATATTTTAAAGCTAATCATATTGAGAAATCCATAAACATCAACATGAGACACATTATACAGCATTTTCCAAATACATTATGAAAGACACAGATTTTAAGGAATGTGAAAATACTTAACGCATGTATATTGTGAACAAAATTACCTGATTTGAAGATCCAGAATGATCTGTCTTTTATCCACATTTTCAGTATACACTTTAACACCATTAATCCTAAGGGGCTAAAGTACAGATTTTCATTTCAAGAGATGAACATTTCTATCAAAATGATGCTGCAATGTAAAGCTTATTTTTTATATTTAAAAAGCCATCTAATATGAATGCAGATTCAGAAAAAGCTTACAGAACTCCTTTCACACAAGATGTTGTTGTTACGTGTTAATGCTATCCATAAGACAGACTTCATAGGAAACAATCATAATGAAGAGGGGCTGTCTTTCAGCTGTTTAGAAACACAAAACTTCATTCAACATAAAGGTCCAGCTTCTAAGGGTTAAACCCAACTACACTGCTAGCAGCAGCAAACCTCTGAGACTAAAGAATGACCTTTTTCTACGACCATTCTTCTCAAGCATTCAGCCTCACCTCCATTACCAGGAAGAGCCAGAATCTACAGGTTACCTAACTATCATGTGAACAGTTACTCCTTTCTTGCGGTTTTTCTTATGTTCTGTCAAGTCAGAATCAATTTATAGGGAACCTAATAGGGCTTTCAAGGTAAGTGAGATTTTTAATGAGTGGCTTTACCAATTCTATACCCTCAGTGAGTTTGCATGGCTGAGCGGGGATTCAAACCTCATGAGTCCTAATCCATCATTCTATCCACTGCACCATACTGGGTATCACACAGTAAAAAAAGGTCTGGTGCTATCTGACCTGATTATTAGGTAGTACACATGAGGAAGTCAAGTGTATGTATTCTTTTCACGGAGTCTCAAAGAGTACCAGTTGAAGTGGTTACAGTAGCAGTATTATCTAAGGAAAGGAATGCATGGTGTTGTCAATGTGGTTGGATCACTTCTTTCATCAACTCTGACCAGCATAGCCCATGGCCGGACACAGTGGGAGATCCAACTCAACAACACCTGGAGGATTTCTAACCTCTAGCTACTGCCTGGGAGTAGCTATTTTTCATCACACACAGCCTTCATCCACTTCCTGTTGCCTTTTAAACCATCTTATTATGTGTTACTAAGCATTCAGTCTCACTTACTGTCAACTGCCTTGGAGGTCTGTCATCAGGCAGAAAGGCAGCAAGAAAAAGAATATATGAATGCTTTTTGTCATTTATGTTGATGTCTCCTGCAATTTTTAGAAAGTTTCATCTCAGAAACTGAAATAATAGGAGAAAAATATGAAAGTTGCTCTAGCAAACACCACCTCCTTCTCCTTCTTCTTGAAGCTGTTTCAATTATTTTCAAGTAATGCAGACAAAAAACATATTTCACGTTAGCAAATATTTAAGAGGAGTGACAAAAATGTATCCAAGTCATTTTTGTTTAAGTGCTTACTACAGTTGCTTTCAGTAAAAAAAAAAAAAGCAATATTTGAATTAGAGTCCACAGAGTGGGACACCCACTGCTTCCAGACACTGAATCCACACTGAGGCGATCTGTGCAATCAAATTATACTTGCCCTTTAATGCCTACAACCAGAGCAAGAATTTCCAAAGAAAAATGGAATAACGTGTATGCATCTGATTGCAAGCAGGTTTGTTTTAAAAAGAGACTCAATAATCTTGTAACATGAGTAGTTTACATTTTGCAATCCCTCCACTTCTGTTGTTCCATCACTATAGGAACAGCACAACAGCAGTTAAGCACCTGATCACCCACTAACAAGATAGAAAGGAAAACACCATCCAATAAGTACAGAAGCCACTAAAGCACAAAACAAAGACGGAAGACACTAGTCCTGAAACAGGTCACTGTATTTCTGATGAACGTCAATAATCCAAAACTTCTCTACATATTTAGTTCAAACTGTACATAATATAATTTGAGATAATTTTTAAAGTAAAAAGCATTTTTTCCACTTAATGGTACCATTTTAATCCAAATAACAGGGAACACCCCCCAACACACTCTTTTCAGGGAAAATTGGATGAAAAGGTACCCCTGGATCCTCTAGGGGTTTGGGGAGGAAATTTTTGACACAGCCTGAGAGCCCACCAGCACATCTAGAGCCCTTCCATCCCATTTTAAAAATTCTGAACAACTATTTTGGCCCCTAGAAAGCACAAAGGAACTTACTGAACAGAAAAATTAAAACTGTAAGAAATTTGTGGAGTGGGTGATGGGAGCAGTCCTCCAAGATCCAGGGATGGGTGTACACAGCCATCAGGTCTCTGGAGTTTATCCATCCTGCATCGACCAATCTTATTTTAAGAGCATGCCAATTATCTTTCCACACATAAGGTGCATTGTATTTAAACACTATACAGTTTAAAAGAAACTCACCTGATCCCCTATATCAATTTTTGTGAAATTAAAGGTGCTTAGATGGCTGTTTGCTCCTCTCACTGCTGGTTCTATTGTTTCTCTAAAAAGCTTTTCAATAAACTGGCAAATAAAAGGCCACATGTGTTTTACAGTCTGAAAAAGAAAAATTTTAAGATTTAAGCTGTAGCACACAATATAACAGAAGTGTTTAATCAGAAAAGTGAAATTATGCACAATTTATAATTTATGTCATCTTGAATTACTCTGGCAGTATCTTAAAGAGTAGTTCCTATAATTCGTCTGCAGTGTTGCATATGTCTATTCTCTCCATGTCTTTCAATCAGATTCATTTTTTTAAAAAAATTCACTTGTTCTAATTTGTTTTATTGTCTGTTATATGTGTAATGTCTGCCACATCTGTAGTGTCTTCTATGCCACACAAAAGCCAGAAACATGTCACAATAAAGTCAGAAATATCTGGGGCATGAGGAAATTGTCTCTTTGCAATCTGTGATCAGGAGTCCCATCTCAACAAAGCCTAGCATCCTCCTAATGTTTAGAAACTACCTAGCCAAGAAGATGGTACCCAACCCCACCCAAAGTTCAAAGGCAATGTACTATTCTACAATGCAGAAATGCTAGTACACAAGACTCCATGTTGACTATACATATAGAATTGAATGGAATTCCAAAGGAAAGCATTGGGAAAGGAACTAAGGTGAAGGGGCACAGCATATTCACTCATATATACAACAAACCAGGAACATAAATTATTACATCGGCATTACACAAATTGCACACATAATCACGTTTCCTTGTACCATCCAACAATGAATGAGGAGTACAGCTTAGCAATTAAACAAGATAGGTTCTCTAAATGAGGGTGCAAAAAAAAGCTAAACAAACATCTAGTACCTTCCATTGCAAGTCATACCATAGCAAGACAATACCTTTCCTGATGACAACAGGTTTAGTAATGGAAAACAAACAATTCAAAGAAACTTTACATCCCACCACCTTAAGATTTCTCCCCAATTAGAACACCATTTTAGTATTTCTCTGGAAGAAAACAAATTCCAGGAGTCACATGACCCCAACTGTTTCCTTCTGATTTGAGTCAAGGTTCATAAAGTTATGGCTGCAAACTACTGTTTTCTGCCCCAAAATTTATGATTCTTCAAGTCCTATAGATGAGGCTCTGAGATTCTGGAAAGAAGGTCAGAAACTGTGTCATACAAACCTATCCCATTCAGAAACTTTCAAATATTTTTGAACAATACTTTCAAAACATTTTTTAAAATACAACTTTTAAAACTGCTTTTTAAACTGTTTGAATTTTTTTTTAGGAACGTGTTATCTTTTTTTGCTTGTGCTTCACTTCGGGGACCCTCATGAGCCAAAAAGCAATATATAATCCCAGAGAAAGATTTCTGTCTCCCATTATTTAGCTGCATTCCAACTGTACTTAAATGGAAATAATAGTAAGACTACTTGCTGATACACAGCTGCATATTACGTACTCTGTTGCACAGTTTGCTCTGACAGCTAAGAAGTTGAGGCTTCGATTTGTTAAGGTTCATATGTTACATAAATGTTGAATATAGTGACTTCGATATTATATGCTATGCCACTATTCTCACAACGGGTTTATTGACCTCTGAGGTAGCCTTTTTTTAACCATTTTTATGTAAGTCTGCCTTTGTAAAGGCCTATGGCCAGAAACAATAAAGGTACAATGTATAATATATAATCACTGTTCACAAATACATAAACAACAAAAATCAAAACAAAAAACCCAATGAGTTACTATGTTGATGTGGCTATGGAAATTAAAATAAAAAACATATGGAGGTTATTATGTTGAAAAGGGCTAATGAAATCAGTAAGAGTTGTCTAAAACAGGGGTCCCCAACCCCTGGTCCACGGGCTTCCCTGGGCCACAAAAATGGATCTCAGCCCCCCTGCCCACCTGCACAGGGGGCGTGTCATGCTCATGGGCATGCATGGGAGCATATAACACTCACACGCATGCACACAACACATCCACACCCGCATGTGACACGCCCCCTGCAAGCACAGGGATAACCCCCCCCGCGCACGGAGCCCTCCCCATGGATCTATTCTTCCAGATAATACAAATAATAGCTTACCTTATTCAGCCATTCTGCTCTTTCAGTATCTGGAAACTGGACCTAACAAAACAAAAGTTGCACATGATTAGGAAACAGATAACTTACTTCAAAGTCACAATGTTGGGTGAAAACATACATAAAGCAGGATAACTATGTTGGTCTTGGAAAAGGAACATCCACATGATAAGTAAATATCCTTATTAATAATAATAACATTTCATCAAGTCAATTTGATTACCCTGTCCCTTTTCTACGTATAAAGTACTCAGAAGAGGATTGTTATTCCCTCCTTCTGGGATTGCCTAGAACTGTGCACCTTGCCCAAGGCTACACAACCTGACTCTTCTCCCTGGAGAAACAGCAGAACATTTAACTCCCAATCTCTCACTCTGCGGCCAGACACCATATCACCGAGCCAGTCTTTATTAGGACCAACTAAAATGAACCTGTGGAAGCTTTCAAACTCTGAAGTTCTTGAGAAGTTTCTGAAGTAATCTGGAGGAAAAGCATTAATGATCATTTCTAGATACAAGTGTCACCGGAAACTATGGTTTCCTGAACAGCAAAGTGAAGCTCTGAGTGACAGTGAACCAATGTGAATAAGTATGAAACATACCTGCAGATCATTTCTAATATTAGGACAATTATTTGAATGAACCACTGTATTTGCTATCAGACCTCAGTGTATTTAATCTTTATGGCATTCTATGTCACTATATGCCATTCTTCTTAATGGCATTATATACCATATCTGCCTTGTATTATCCCCTGGAAACACATTCCTACCTTCTTACACTGGCCTTAACTACTGAAACAACATATACCAAAGTAACAGCTTTACTCATAATTAATCAGATTTGCTGACCAACTTTGATCCATCAGGAGTCCATTGCAGCACTATCTTTTAGGACAGAGATGCACATATTGCCACAGAGGGTGCAGGGTAGAGGAGAAACTTTTATGGAAAAAAAACCTGTTGCTGTTGCCATAAAGTAAATCCCCTGAAGTCTGAGACAGGGCACCTGCAATCCCTGGATTTCTAGAAAATGGTCACTCCTGCTTTAGGGCGTAGTAGGTTACATGCACTCAGTGGGAAAGAACCCTACCAGCTTGCTGGCAATCACAAAAGAAGCCCATTTTATTTTTATTGTTTTGCTGGGTCATTGCAACACAACAAAAGTTTAAAAAGTACTGATTCATACTATTACTGTAATAGCATATTCCTAATCTGCTTGCCTGGTTTTATTTTGTCTTGGGCTCATAACACTTCCACTTAAAGTGCTATTTGTTCGAAATGCTTGCCATACTTAATGAGCTTAAGTACATGAGAACTATCAATAATGTATACTGGATGCTTCTAAGTTTGAGAATATAATATTTTATTTATACAGAGTTCAAACAGACGATGTAGTCAAGTCTGCTCCAGACACACAGCTATAGCATTAAAATAGTCACCTCTCCAAACAAGTTTTTCAGACCCATTCATTCATGCTGTGTAAAATTAAGTACAGGTATGCTTTCTTTTCCTCCAAATGAACCTATAATTTAATCCTTGCTCAAAAAGATTTTAGTTTTTGTTGCAATGATGGGGCATGTATGAATTATGCAGAATAACTCAAAATCTTTCTTAAATAGTTGAAATATCATTTTAGACATTCTTATGTACATTTCTTACGTACATGTCAATTTCAAATTATCTCATACAGCCTTACCCCTGAAGTCTTCAGTAACCTCAGAAAAGTTTAAAGAAAAAACAGAGGCACTCGCTACTTTTAGGACATAGCACTTTTAAAAACCTATAATCATAGGCCAACCAAAATTACTGTTCTGCCACCAAAGCTCAGTAACTCCTTTCATAGCCAGATCCTCATATAACATCTCTTTCTTTTCTTTATCTATGTGCCTTTCATGATACTTTTATTTACACTGGACCTCCTTTCATTGATTATAAGCTGATATTGTAACTAGCAAAGCTAAGGAACCAAGCATATCATTATTCCATATACACAAATGCAATGGTAAGAATGCGACTGATTCATATATTTCTAAGGGTTCTTTTTAATTAATTCGTTTGAAATATAGTGCTGGATGAGAGTTTTGTGGATACCATGGACTGCCAGAAAGACAAACAAGTGGGTCCTAGAGCAAATCAAGCCTGAGCAATATCTGGAGGCAAAAATGTTGAAACTGAGGTTATCCTACTTTAGGCACATCACAAAAAGGCAGGAATTTCTGGAAAATACAATATTCTTGTGAAAGGCTGAAGGCAGCAGGAAAAGACGAAGATCAAATGAGGTGGGTTGATTCCCTAAAGCAGAGGTCTTCAAACTTTTCAATATGAAGGCCACATCATATATTTTACACATTTTCGAGGGCCAAAGGGGGGAAAGGGGTGGGGGATCACTTCGGTCCCCCTTCCCTCCCTTTCCTATGCCTGGGCTGGATAAAAAGGCAAGGCGGGCCAGATGTGGCCAATGGGCCGTAGTTTGGAGACCCCTGCCCTAAAGGAACACACAAGATTGAGTTTACAAGAGCTGAGCAAGCCAGTTGAGGACAGAATGTTTTGAAGGTCTCTTTCACTGGGTTGCCATTACCTGGAGACGACTTGACAGCTTATAACAAATTGTAACATACTATCTGGGCTTGAACAATTTTCGAATGTCTCACCAGTCAGTCAAGAATTTCACCAGTCAGCATGACTGGACTATAGCCTTGCAATTTATCTTAAAAAAATTTAAACTAGGCACTTGTTCACTTTTATTTCTACGTAACAATGCGTACAAACCCAAAAGAAAGTATTATGTACATGGTATTTGCCTATGTCTTCTTAGTAGAAAACGCACTGCTGTCAGAGGTGTTGCCCTTGTGTCCTTGAACATGCCTGGTAGTTTTAGCACTGAAGTACCATTTATCAATGGCTTTAGTAGGGTTAAACTGTGGTAGTGCAAGTCCATTTAGATTCACCATCATAAGGTCATCTAAGCTTTCAGTCTCTAAACATGATCTGAATTTATTTTTGATCAGATTCATCTGGCTGAAACCCCATTCACAGCTAACTGTAGAAACTGGTAGAACAGAGGGAATTTTAAGGAGCTTCAGAAGAATAGGAAACCTGCCCCAAGGTGGTTCATTGACTTTCCCAGTAAATCCACTGATGACAGACCTTTTGCAGATATTTTGAATTCATACCATTCATCCATGGCTTTCTGAATTATGTCTTCTTTGCCCTTGCATTGCAAAAGGTCTTTGTAATGAGATATAAGTACGGTTACTGTACTTCCTTTTAACCAAAACTTTCCAAGGACGTTTCTGTCCATGCGAAAGTATCAAATATTGACATAGATGTTAATATGCTATCTGTAGCAGTTGCTTTATTACTTGCGTGCCTGTGGGGTCATGAAGCTTGTATTTTGAATGCCTTTCTTTTGAATGTCTTCAGCAAAAATAAAACTGAAAGCAAAAGCACCCGGCCTCTTAAGGAGCCACGGTTCCCTCTCACTCCAGGATGTGTCCTCCTTCAATTGAAATTGGGAGCAGGGAATCTCCATATTCTCCACCATGGGACTTCTCTACATTCTCCTGAAGAGCTATATATCTATGTGCCACTCGAACTCTCTTCTCGCGAGAAGAGGGCAGTTTGTCTTTTGCAATGGGAGGGGGAAGGGGAGGACTGCAGGATGAGAGAAAAGGGGGGCGGAGGAGGCAGGCAGGGAGCTGTGACTCCTCGAGCAGCGTTTTTCACTCATCACAGACGAGTGCATTTTTCAAGCCCTGCATGCTATGCTTGCCATTCCCTCTAATAGCAAACTTGCGTGGCTGAGTGGAAGTAGTCCACAGAAATGAGAAGCCACAACAATCTAGAGATGAAAACTACAATGTAGCAGTTGAATAGAAGTAACAGTTAAAAACAAACTTGAGCGGTGGGATGAGGACAGTGGATGGCAAGGAAAGAGAATTGATACATTGTGGTCACTAAGTTACAAAGAGGAATGTTTGTTGTGAAACGGAAAATATTCTCCTATACAGCAATAAGATGGTCAATAAGAGCTGCCAGTCGGCTGGCACTAGATAAAACAGCAGGGAAAGGCCTTGGCAGAACAGGGAAGGAGGCTGCCATGTAGTCTTTTCCACTTCTGAAACTCTCCACACCCCACAACTGGCGGAAACAGCACCATTCCTGGCTGACTAATCATCTGAACAGAAACAGTCTTCTTAAATAATGCAGACACTGCTGTGATCTGGCAGGTTCCTATTTCCTGATCAGTGATCTTCCTTATCTTTTCAGTACTCATCTCATGTGCCCCAACTGCTACTTCCTATCCAAGCCTGTACGCTGCCAGGAAAAAAAAAGGAATAACCTCAAATTCACTGTCATTTTTTAAAAATTAAGTTACAAGTTTTACTCAAGCCTTCATGAGCCTGTCCTCTGTTTAAGTCACTAAACACAAACATACCTGAGATGCCAGAATGCAATTAATATGTAACTCCCTGCATCTTCCACAGAATCTGAATGGGACACCAGTTCCCAAACTTTTTGGCATTGCATCTCCTTTTTTATTGTTCCAGAACCACCACAACTCCCTTTCCTCTCTTGAACCTTCATCCAACTCCTTTTTACCAAAACACTCAATATGTAATTTAAAATAAAAAATAAACCTAGTAATAATTATTTTAAATAAAAATTAAACACAAATATTTTCCCTTTTCATAAGTAGTTAATAAACATGCAAGTCATATTTATTAAAGAACAGTGTGAGCTAAATGAGAAGGTAATTTGAGAGAGCCAAGTTCAGAAAAAATTAGTGAGGAAGAAGGAACCAGTCACAGAAGAGAACAGAAGAGGCAGGAGCATCCAAGATAGATGGAGTCTTGTGGCAGGGATTTCTCTACAGTGAGGTGTTCCATTCCCAAGAGAGGTGAGGTGTTCCATTCCCAAGAGATGCAAGGAGAAATCGTGTGAAGTTTGTTTCCGCGTTCTTCCCCTGGAAAGGTGGGAAATTTCGTGGGGTGTTCCTTTCTTCTCTGGGGGTGACTGATAAGCTGCTTCGAATTCAGCTACT